GATTGTAATGCGTAGCCTCTGCGCATGGTTTTCTCCAGCCACGGATCCGACAGTAGGCCCTGCTCCCTCCAGATGCTGTAGAAGTCTGTGAGGGGCGGAACGGGAACTGGAACACGAGACGTCACAGCCCCGCCCTCTCCTGGTGCTCCTAGCAGGGAGGGGGGTGAACGAAAGGGCAGAGGGACCTCCTGCGTCACCTCGTGTGCGCCGGTGGCGGTCACGTGTCCTGCAGACCCGACGTCATAAGTCCGGGCCTGCTCATACCATGTGACTCGAACGCTCCGCCCCCCCCTTGGCGCTTGCCTCATGGAGGGGGGGGGGAGCCCCTGGAGTGGGAAACTCCGTGCTTAGCCCCGTTTCTTAGAGGAGGTAACACGTGTTCGACCGAAGCACACACACCACTACTCGCCAGATCCCTCCCCTTGACCCCTCTCTCGGAGGGCATAGCATGGATCAGTGGACCGGAGCTCGTAGCCCGCGTAGCACACTGCACACCCTGCTCTGGGGGCTGCAAGCCCAGCGGGGAAATGTTATGGGCTCGGGAAGTAACACAAGCAGACACATTACACATGTTACGTACCCCCAAATGAGACTCAGACAACGAGTACTGATGAAATGCCGGACGGCCTTTATTAGCAAAAGTTTTGCCACCCCGGCCTCCTCTACTGTAGGGAGGCCGGCGGTGGGTGCGCTGCTCCCTCGGGGCTCCCGTGGGTCTGTCCGGACCCGGGGTCTCGTCGAAGGGGGACAATGGATGGTGGAGCGTGGGTAGGGAGCGGAGCGCCTCCTGGGCGAGCGCTCTCTGCCTCTGTTCAGGCTCCGTGCAGCTTGGTGGGCCTCGCGCCTCGGAGCTAGGTGCGGTGCTAGCCTAGCCGAGTCCTTGGCCGCAGACTCCAGTCTGTCCACCAGGGCCTGCATGTCAGGGCCAAAGAGGGACGTCTGGGACACGGGCAGGTCCAACAGTTGCCTCTTCTCCGCCTCCCTGATGTTTGCTAGCCCAAGCCAGAGGTGCCTGGCCCCGACTTGGGCTGCAGCCATGGTGCCACCAGAGCCGCGGAGGTGGTCCTCGCCTCTGTCAGGAGGTCTCCGCTGAGCGCCTGGCCAGCGGAGAGCGACCTATCCAGGGCCCCCGTGATAAAGGCCATGTTGTTAGCCAGGGTGACGACCTGAGCCGCGTTGGCATAACACCTGTCCAGCACAGCCAAAGACATCCTGTCCCGCTCGGAGGGAAGGAAAGGTCTGGCGCCGGGCCACACGGATGCGGAGGGCAGCAGAGCTATACGGACTGAGTCCTCGATGTCCGGGACACCACCGGCCCAGGACCAGTCCTGCACGCTGCAGTACATGCCATACCCCAGAGCAGGCCTCTTGGCTGCTAGGGGCTTTGGCCAGTCACGTGTCGCGTAATGGAGGATCGGGTTCATCCGCGGGCACAACGTGGGTTGCTTCCTCCTCCTCCCTCGAGTGGTGGTGCCCCCCGAGGTGAAGTCCTCCACCGCCTGGTCCGGCTGCGGTGGTAGAGGAGCGTTCATCATGACCGCCGCGGAGGAGTAGAGACTGGGCATGTGATCCAGTGGGAACCGGTCCGGCTCCGGGTCTCGCTGGAGTTCTCCGGGCGCTGGAGCACCGGCGCTCACTCTCCTCTCTGGGGAGAGCGAGACACGAGGCGCAGCTAGCGCTCTCCGCCGCATGGCCCGAGCCCAGGCACAAGAAACCGCGTGAATGCTGGTCCGTGCGCGGGAGCCTGACCCGACACTCCAAGCAACGACAACGTCCGACGCCGGAGGGCGAAGGGGAAATCGGACGAGCAGTCGAGGCAGACATCTCAGCAGACAAAGTAGATGTAGTAGATGTAAGTATGATCTCAATCACCGCCAGAGTGAAAGAGGGGGCGCGGCCTTGTGCAGGGGCTTTTATAGAGGAGGGTCGCTAGTGATTGGAGCATATTTATATATATTTGATCTCTCTGGCGTGTGACCTGGGGGTCACGTGATATCCCACTAGCGAAGTCCTAAGGGACGTAGCACCATGACGTTTAATCAAATCCTGCAGTGCCAGACGTGTCCCCCTGCTGAAGCCAGTGCATGTCCAGGCCCGTCTGAAGTTTGCCAGAGAACACATGGATGATACAGCAGAGGATTGGGAGAATGTCATGTGGTCAGATGAAACCAAAGTAGAACTTTTTGGTATAAACTCAACTCGTCGTGTTTGGAGGAAGAAGAACACCATACCTACTGTGAAGCATGGGGGTGGAAACATCATGCTTTGGGACTGTTTTTCTGCTAAGGGGACAGGACGACTGATCCGTGTTAAAGAAAGAATGAATGGGGCCATGTATCGTGAGATTTTGAGCCAAAACCTCCTTCAATTGAGTTGAATTTCTGTTATTGACCAAATACTTATTTTCCACCATAATTTACAAATACATTCTTTAATAATCCTACAATGTGAATTCCTGGATTTTTTTTTACATTCTGTCTCTCACATTTGAAGTGTACCTATGATGAAAATTACAGACCTCTGTCATTATTTTAAGTGGGAGAACTTGCACAATTGGTGGCTGACTAAATACTTTTTTGCCCCACTGTATATCTATATATCTCTATCTCTATAAGGGCAGTAAAGTAGAGAAAGTAGAGAAAAGTGAGAAAGTAGAGAAAGTGACATTCAGTGGACATTCTGAAATTGCATTATTAGAATAAACACTTAAAGGAACAATATGTAAAAATCTGGCCAAAAGTGGTACTGCAGTCACAGTCAATATTTTGTAGTCCTCTCCCACTCTCCCTGACTCAGGTTGCCAGATTCACACCAAATCCAGCAGCAAACACAGGGAATTATTTTATCAGTTGTTTGTCCGTCTCCATTCACATTGCCATGACAGCCGTGCTAATGCTGAATGAATGTTTTGATTCATGTTTTTTTATTATTACTATTTGGACATTTGAGATAAAAAACAAAAACAAAATAAAAGCAATGTAATTATACATAGTTTATGCAAAATAAATAAGCAATTGATGTCCAAAATAGGAGTGGGAAGAATGGATGTTGGAACGTATTTCTTCAGCGTATCAACAAGAGGATATCACCTTTCAATTTTATTTATTCCCTATTTTTTAGACAAACATGTAAAAGTCCCACATCAAAAAGAGACTAACATTATTTTAATTGGGGTACATGTGGTCTTAAATGATTATTTTTACAATTAAGCAATAATCTGCAAAAAAACGTCCGTCTTTTACCGTTTTTAGAGCAATCTGTCATAGAATGTGATAACATGCAATAAATACAAAAAGACATAGCCCGGAATCGAACCCGGGTTCCTGCATCATAAGCGCACAGTTTTGACCACTAGACCAGTGTTTTTCAACCTTTTTTGAGCCAAGGCACACTTTTTTCACTGAAAAAATCTTGCGGCACACCTCCAGGAGAAAATGTAAAAATGTATACAGTACTAATGTAAAAAAATATATACTGTACATACTCTGTGTGATATATAAAGTATATCTTATCTTATAATGTATACAGTATACTCTGTAGCCTATATTCACAATATACAGTTATTCTCATCAAAATGCTTAAGTCCAGGCCTTGAAATTAAGCTTTATTTAATATTTCTCGATACAATTAACAAGAGTTTGGGAATAAAGTGGCACTAACTGTGTGGAAAAAAACTAAGAAAATCCACTCTCTGCCCAAATAGTCAAATAATAACTCACACAAAGAACATGCATTGTTAGTGCATGGGAAACATTTTGGTATCCGAGCTTTAAATTCAGGAGTTTTGGATGAGGGACACGGGAGGTCCTGAACGCGAGTCCATGGTTCTGTCCGGTCCGCATGTCTGTGGTTCTGTCCACTCGACTACGGTCTGCGCTCGGTACCCAGTTCAGAAGTGCGTTTGCGAGAGCTGTTGTACAAAAATCGTACATTTCATAGTTAAACCACTACAACGCGGCCACAGCTGCCCCGGGGCAGAGCGGAGGATGTTAATCCTGTTCAGAAACGGCATAATTCATTTTCAAAAACGTCTCTATCACTTTCACTTCTCACTCGCCACAAAGCTCTTGTCTCGCTCCCTCCCACATTTGTTGGTCGCATCCAATTTTACCTTTCTCGCCACAATGCTGACCTGTTACAGCCAGTGGTCGCATCCAATTTTTCAGTTTCAAAGTACTTAGCTATCTGCTGCCATCTACTGATTTGAAAAAGTATTACATGGTTACTCACAGTTCAAAACAAGTCACCGCTCGTCAACAGCGAATGCAGCTATTTTTAGACAAAGTAGACGAATTTCTCACGGCACACCAGACAATATCATACGGCACACTAGTGTGCCGCGGCACAGTGGTTGAAAAACACTGCACTAGACCACCGATTCACACGGATAGAGTCATCGTGAAGAACGGAGTCAAACTAGCAAATTCTGCATCACACGTAAACTTTTATCAGCTGTCTCAATTGTTCAAAGGCGTCCCGATATAAATCCTCGTTTTAGTCTTTGTTTTGTCATTAATCACGGACTTACATGACACTTCCTGATTGGCAAAACGGCGGAGGGTAGGACATCAAAATCAAAACAATAACAACTTTTACGGGTCGTAAAACTAATTTTGATAATCAAATATCTCGGCTGAACTACTGTTATCAGTTAAAGATGTGTTTGAAAAGAACATGATTTATTAATGCCTTTTGAAATATTCGGGTCATTTAATGATGACTTGACATGCAAATATTACATATTGCTCCTTTAACTATGAAGATTATATGAATCCAAGGCACGGGAACTAAGGTCAAATTAGATAGAGCTTTGATAGAGTGAACAAATGAATGACTCTGTGGAGCATATGAAATGAGTTCTAGGGGCACATCTAGAAGAGATGTGGTTGGCTATGAGTCTTTCTAAAAAGAAATTATCTGTTAAAAACTTTTAACAGATGCCAAATAGACCCATTGTATTTAATTATAGCAACATGTATGACAGATGTGTCCATGTGCAGGTTTTGGGCACAGTGTCTCTGCCCAGTGACCTGCCTGCTCTGTCCTCAGCAGAGTGGCTGCTGGACGTGGACCGCCGCAGAGTGACTTCCATCGCCACGCTGCTCAACTGTCTGCCCAGCGAGTCCTCTGCCGTCATCACATCTGCTGACACGCTGCTGACCGAGCTGTTCAGCCACAATGGTCCAGGACACGCACTACACACAAAACATTCAGCAAACATTCTTACAATTCTGGAGTTAATTGTGTCCCAGGATGTGAATGGATACATAATGCAACATATGGAGGTTCATTAAATATTAGAAAATACACCATGTGAATCTAACTCAATGTGTAGCACCTAAAGCCAGATCAAATCAGAGCTCATTTTGACTATTTCCTCTTCTTCTGTTTCAGGGTCAGGAACACTATTTAAAAATGGAGACCCAATACACAGGTACTGTAAACTTGTTTGGTTCATAACTGAGATGAACTAAAATTATGTTTAATACAAACCCAAAGGACAGACATCGGACTTCATTCATAATCAAAAAGACCCTATGGCTCTGAGTAGTCTGTTCCTGTAACCCAGGCATGTCTTGTCCTTCCCCCTGGTAGAGTTATTGGAGGATTTGGTTTAATTTCAGGGAATTTGTATAATGGCCAAACAGCAAATTCAGTTTTGGAGGGGGCCCCAATCACAGACTGGATGAAGGTGTATCATTTTTGTGTAATGCAGCTCATAACTCAAACATGATGCTGATGAGGACAGAGATGGGAGCATTCGCATGTGGAGGATGGAATAAAATGTTGTATCTCTGCGGGACAAGCTTATTTCCTTATGTCATGTGGCAAATGTTACCTATCTCTTATGGCACCTGTTAAGTTTCACCAGAGCCAGTGGAATCTGCTCTTCCTTTCATATCTCCTTGTATTCCTTTGATTTACTGGAACACACATCCATACTATACTGAATAAAAATCAAAGTCAACAATGTTTACAATATAAGTCATGTTTGTGTATGCATTTGTGGCGATAATATTTACACAGCTGACTGTGCTGCTTCTGTGTGCACTGCGAGGGGCAGATGCGGTCAAGGCTCGTGCAACAATGCAACTTTCAAACCTGACGATTTGATTGGGTCGTCTTGGCGTCGTAAATGCAGCACTCTGAAAACCTGAGGCAGAAGTTTAGTTTGTTATATGATTAGAATTTCACTTCTTTGTCGTTGTGCAGGTACAGTTCCTTCAATGAAATCAATGTGGAGCGTTTGCTGGCACTCATCAACAAGTCATTTGAAAAAAATCTAAACCAAGACTATATTGAGTCATTAAAAGACCGTCTGCATACAGTTTACCTCTCAGAAAGGTACGTACTACCAGCTTTCTCCTTATTCATTCAGAAGCAATGATTTTGTACTGTAACCATGGTAACTCCAGAATATTGTGTACCTTGGGTGATCGATGTACTATTATTTTTTATCTTTATTATTTTCCCATTTTATTTTACAGGAAGTAGGCCTGTAAAATAAAATGATATTTTGTTATCATATCAATATTGAGATACATTCAGGATATGAATATGGAAATGGCAACAACAGAAATTATAGATTTCTTTCAAAAGATTTCCCATAAAACTATAGTCATGATGTAATCTTTTTTTTCAGAAATGTATTTGTTAGATATGGTTCAGCCCAACCAGGAAGTTGTTCTTTGTATTTGGACGTCAACAGTTCTCCATGTGACTGCATTACAGTGGGACACTAACATTTATAATGATGGTTCTAAATGTGACATTGTTTTAAACAAATAATGTTGCATTTTAGACTTTGAAACAGTGGTGGAATATCACATGCTATGGAACTTTATTTTCTGAATGTGGTGCAGTTTGAAAAGAAGACTATTGAGTTATCAAAGCCACAGCATTTTGGGATCGTCTCAAAAGTACCTGTGCTATGAGCTGATGATCTTATCACTGTGTGTGCATTTTTTAAGTCTGAGATAGCATTACATGCTAGGTTCAATAGTCTCAATGTTGTTTTTGATGCCAAATGTATTACATAACATTAATATTAATAAAGTCAATTAGAAGGTTTGCTTCAAAAGCATTCAATTTGGCAAAATTTGAGAAATGCATTCCCGTCAAGATGTATGAACTTTGGCTAAATTTAGAACAAGGGCATATTTTGTTTTGCATCTTTGTGGGAGCAGTTGGCTGTCCAACCCGGGCTGTGAGGAAGAGCGTCACCGTCATTGCTGTCTGACTCGGCTGTAGTTGTGACTGCAGAAGCCGAAACACTTGAATCCAATTTGTCTCAATATGGATTCAAACTTGCTCCATTTAGCTGCTGTGGATTATTAAAGTTTGCAGAAAACGGAGGCAAATTTTGTTCTGCATATATCCGGCATGGTCACATGACGCTCACTACAACAGCAGCTCCAGCCGTGCGTCATCACTGTACAATTTATAAATATAAATAAATGTGCACTTTATTTCGCCCTGCGGGAAACTTCTGTCTCCAGATGTTGATCCTCGGCTTGGTCAGGACCAGAGCTGGAGGATTTACCTATTGTACAAGGGTTGAACAATAGGTAACCCTAACCCTAACCCGTAGCATCCGGAGAAAACCTACGCAGACACGGGGAGAACATGCAAACTCCACTTAGAAAGGTGTTCCGACCGGGATTCAAAACCAGGGCCTTCTTGCAGAGAAGCGAGTGTGTTATCCACCGTGCCACCCCATACAAAGTCCTGCATGTGCCAAAGGACAGACCATAAAGCTTGTGGCACCTGTACAGAATGAAGTGTTGCAAATACTGAACCCAGACAGGAGAGCAACATGGCCAATAACATGTCTGTTGTTTTTGTAGATACAGCGCGGCTGCAGTCATCACCATGGAGCCTGTGAACGGTGGCACTCCTTATCTGGACAAGTTTGTGATCAGCGGCTATGAGCAGGGCCAGGGCACCAGCCACATCCTCTGGGAGTGCATCAGACAGGACCTGGGGAAACTGTTCTGGAGATCCCGTTCCACCAACAAGATCAACCCCTGGTACGTTTGGTCATCTAGAAATGTGTGCAGGGCCTGCACAAACTGGTGCTGATCAGCGCTTAAAATAATATATTTGTGTCCTGGCTACATTTGATTCAGTCAGGTCGAGGACTTTTTATTTACATTGCTCCCTTCTTCTGTCAGGACCTGCCCCACTATCTCAAATAGGACTAAGGTGCAGAACTAAAAGGAGTCATCTCCAGTTTTTATTTTTTATTATTTTACATTCAAACAGAACTATTCAAGGACTAGATCAGGAGTGAAAAATTTTAAATAAAATAAACGCATTACAGTTTTGCCTTGCACTTGTAGTTTTCTACAAGGGAGCACACAAAAATATACAAAATAAGTAGTAGCTATGTTTCTTAACTAGCTTAACTAGCTGTAAGTCTCTACTTAGAACAACTGAAAGCTTTGGACTTGTTTGCCACGGACCTGGAACTGTGGCCGAGGCCAAAGACTTTACTGAAGACTGTAATGTTGTGTTCACACCAAACACAGCCAAAGCCTCCAATGCGTCAGGTTTAATTTGAAAATACATGTTCGAGCAACTACTAGTTTACGTGTTCCGCTTACGATTTAATGTGTTTATTCAGTGGAAGTATGCAAAAGGCGGTGGAAGAGTCTGAGGGACACGTATGCAAAGTAGAGCAGGAAAACTTGAAATTGCTTCGCTCTCTTCCCACTTGTTTAGACGCTCGTCCAGAAAACTCGGTGACGGCGTTTGTCGTCAGTAACAAGCGTCCAACGAGGCACTTTGGCTGCGTGTTGTCTGAACAAGGCATAAGTCAAATCTTACATGCAGTATGTGTGTGTGTGTGTGTGTGTGTGTGTCTGTATGTGTGTTTGAATGTGTACATGCATGTGCATATATGTACAGTATGTGTGTGTATGTATGTGTACGTGCATTAGGGCTGAAACAACTAATCGATTAATCGACGACTAATCGATTATTGAAATAGTCGACAACTATTTTAGTAATCGATTAATCGTTTTCTGGTTCACACGGACTCAAACAGAGCAAAAATGACATGAAAATGTAGTATTTTTGATTAAAACCGAATTTGTTTTTATAATTTCATGAATATCTGTCTGTCTCATCCAATCAGATAGCAGAATTAGCACAAAGAGCCTGTTACAAACATTTACTTTAAGTTTACGCCATCAATACGTCCTCGAGTGTGGCCACTTTAGCTTTTTGTGATGAAAAAATATTTTTTTTCTACACAATTCACAGCCAAGCGATTACTCGATTAATCGTGAAAATAATCGATAGATTAATCGATTACAAATTAATCGTTAGTTGCAGCTCTAACGTGCATGTATGTATGTATGTATGTGTGTGTTTGTGTGTGTATGTATGTGTACGAGCATGTGCATGTATGTATGTGCATGTGCATGTATGTACTGTATGTGTACGTGCATGTGTGTATGTGTGTATTAAAACGCTCTGGAACCTTGTGTTTGTCCCATGTGCAGGTACTTCAAACAATGTGACGGCAGCTTTGTGACTGGTTCGTGGACAGTGTTCTGGTTCGGCCTGGTGGACATCAGAGATTCATACAGTCTTGTGGAACATGCAAGGGCACTTCCTGACTCATTCCACGGCCCACCTCTGTGTGCGCCGCTTTAGAACCGGAAGAACCGTTGATTCAGAATGAAGTGGAATCTTAAAGAGTTAATTTTACACATTTAAAGTATTTGTATTTCCAAAGCCAAATGATAAACATACATTTTCCCTGCAATTACACAAGCATCAACAAGGTAAACACAATACGGGAATAATTTGAATATATGTAAATAAAATTGTTATTTTCTGGTCATTTCCAAATGATACATCCTGGTTTTAATCTGGGGGGATTAAACCAGGAAAAGGAATGGTAATTAAAGCCGCTAGCGGTGTCGAAGAGCCCTCGCCGCACCACGCACTCCCCGCACTGCGCGCACTCCCCGCGCCGCGCACCACGCCGCCCCGCATTACGCCGCCCTGCATCACGCCGCCCTGCATCACGCCGCCCCGCACCACGCCGCCCTGCACCACGCCGCCCTGCACCACGCCGCCCTGCACCACGCCGCCCTGCACCACGCCGCCCTGCACCACGCCGCCCTGCACCACGCCGCCCTGCACCACGCCGCCCTGCACCACGCCGCCCTGCACCACGCCGCCCTGCACCACGCCGCCCCGCATCACGCCGCCCTGCATCACGCCGCCCCGCACCACGCCGCCCTGCACCACGCCGCCCTGCACCACGCCGCCCCGCACCACGCCGTCCCGCACCACGCCGCCCTGCACCACGCCGCCCTGCACCACGCCGCCCTGCACCACGCCGCCCCGCATCACGCCGCCCCGCATCACGCCGCCCCGCACCACGCCGCCCTGCACCACGCCGCCCCGCACCACGCCGCCCCGCACCACGCCGTCCCGCACCACGCCGTCCCGCACCACGCCGTCCCGCACCACGCCGCCGCGCACCACGCCGCCCCGCATCACGCCGCCCCGCATCACGCCGCCCCCGCACCACACCGCCCTGCACCACGCCGCCCTGCACCACGCCGCCCCGCACCACGCCGTCCCGCACCACGCCGTCCCGCACCACGCCGTCCCGCACCACGCCGTCCCGCACCACGCCGTCCCGCACCACGCCGTCCCGCACCACGCCGTCCCGCACCACGCCGTCCCGCACCACGCCGTCCCGCACCACGCCGTCCCGCACCACGCCGTCCCGCACCACGCCGTCCCGCACCACGCCGTCCCGCACCACGCCGTCCCGCACCACGCGTCCCGCACCACGCCGTCCCGCACCACGCCGTCCCGCACCACGCCGTCCCGCACCACGCCGCCCCGCACCACGCCGCCCCGCACCACGCCGCCCCGCACCACGCCGCCCCGCACCACGCCGCCCCGCACCACGCCGCCCCGCACCACGCCGCCCTGCACCACGCCGCCCTGCACCACGCCGTCCCGCACCACGCCGTCCTGCACCACGCGTCCCGCACTATGCCGCACCACACCGTACAACGCAGTACCGCGCAAAGGAGGTGGCGCCGCCGTGTGATGATTGGTTCCCGTAGCCATAGAAGAATGTTAGTCAAATTGTAATGAATACGATAAGTAGAGATGGTTTGGCTCCCCATGTAAACTTTGACTCGGTCTGTAGGGGGCGCTAATGGGCCAATTTTAAATATTTCACTTTCACCTGACCTAAACCCTGGAGTTGAACAATGGATTAATGTTTAATGCAAATCAGACTTTGTTTGTGCAAACGGGAAAAAAATTACTGTTGTCAAAAAACGGTCAAAAAAAACCCTCACATTTTGCCGCTCGGCTGCTCAAACAACGTTTCACTGATCAAAATTCCCTGAAGTCATTTTTTTTTTACTCAAAATTGAAGTCAATTTTGAGGCCAATCGGTGAAACGGCCGAGGAGTCGCTTTCCAACCAACATGTATGAAAAAGATTGTTTTCTTTTTTCCATTTTGCAAAGAAATGTATGGGCTTGCTGTTTGTCAGAGGGCTTAGCCATAATAACATTTTATCCATGTCTTGACTTGAGGAACATGTGTACCAAATTACATGGTTCTACGACAATTTTGACCTCAAACCCCTCCCATAGGCGTTTTTAAATTGGCTGTTGTAGGTGGCGCTATAGAGCCAATTTCAAAATGTTGACTTTCAAATGACCTAGACCTAAGAATTGAACCATGGATTCAAGTTTTGTGCAAATCAGACTTTGTTTGTGCAAACGGAAGCAATTTTTCTATTGTCAAAAACTGGAAAAAAAATACGCCACTTTTTGGCGCTCCGCTGCTCAAACAACGTTTCACTGATCAAAAGTCTGTGAAATCAAAATGATGGTAAATGTGTTTAGACCAGTGTTTTTCAACCTTTTTTGAGCCAAGGCACACTTTTTTCACTGAAAAAATCTTGCGGCACACCTCCAGGAGAAAATGTAAAAATGTATACAGTACTAATGTAAAAAAATATATACTGTACATACTCTGTGTGATATATAAAGTATATCTTATCTTATAATGTATACAGTATACTCTGTAGCCTATATTCACAATATACAGTTATTCTCATCAAAATGCTTAAGTCCAGGCCTTGAAATTAAGCTTTATTTAATATTTCTCGATACAATTAACAAGAGTTTGGGAATAAAGTGGCACTAACTGTGTGGAAAAAAACTAAGAAAATCCACTCTCTGCCCAAATAGTCAAATAATAACTCACACAAAGAACATGCATTGTTAGTGCATGGGAAACATTTTGGTATCCGAGCTTTAAATTCAGGAGTTATGGATGAGGGACACGGGAGGTCCTGAACGCGAGTCCATGGTTCTGTCCGGTCCGCATGTCTGTGGTTCTGTCCACTCGACTACGGTCTGCGCTCGGTACCCAGTTCAGAAGTGCGTTCGCGAGAGCTGTTGTACAAAAATCGTACATTTCATAGTTAAACCACTACAACGCGGCCACAGCTGCCCCGGGGCAGAGCGGAGGATGTTAATCCTGTTCAGAAACGGCATAATTCATTTTCAAAAACGTCTCTATCACTTTCACTTCTCACTCGCCACAAAGCTCTTGTCTCGCTCCCTCACACATTTGTTGGTCGCATCCAATTTTACCTTTCTCGCCACAATGCTGACCTGTTACAGCCAGTGGTCGCAATCCATTTTCAGTTTCAAAGTACTTAGCTATCTGCTGCCATCTACTGATTTGAAAAAGTATTACATGGTTACTCACAGTTTAAAACAAGTCACCGCTCGTCAACAGCGAATGCAGCTATTTTTAGACAAAGTAGACAAATTTCTCACGGCACACCAGACAATATCATACGGCACACTAGTGTGCCGCGGCACAGTGGTTGAAAAACACTGGTTTAGACGATGTGGAGCGATTTTGAGGTAAATCGGTGAAATGGCCGAGGAGGAGTCGCTTTCCAACCGAAACATGTGAAAAGGATCATGTTTCATTTGTCCATTTTGAAGTGAAATTTATGGGCTTCCTGTTGGTCAAGGGGCGGAGCCAAAATAACTTTTATTTCATGTCTTGAGATGAGGAACAAGTGTACCAAATTTCATGCCAATACAGCAAACTTGACCTCGAAACGCTCCCATACTTAAAACTTTGACCCCATCTGTAGGGGGCGCTAATGAGCCAAGTTCATTTGTTTCACTTTCAAATGACCTAGACCCTAGAGTTGAACAATGTATTCATGTTTTGTGCAAATCAGACTTTGTTTGTGCAAACAAGAGCAAATTTAAAGTTGTAAAAAACTGCCAAAAAAGGTCACATTTTGCCGCTCCGCTGCTCGAACAATGTTTCACTGATCAAAAATCCCTGAGGTCATTTTGAAGGTACATGTGTTGAGATGATGTGGAGCGATTTTGAGGCGAATCGGTGAAACGGCCGAGGAGAAGTCGCTTTCCAACCGACATGTATGAAAACTTTTGCTGTTCATTTTTCCATATTGCAGTGGAATTCATGGGCTTCCTGTTTGTCAGAGGGCGGGGCCATAATAATATTTTTTTCTTGTCTTGACTTGAGGAACATGTGTACCGAATTTCATGGCTCTACTACAAACTTGATCTCCAAAACTCCCATAGGGGTATTATTTTGGCTGTTGTAGGTGGCGCTGTTCTGGCATTTTTTGAGTCCCATAAAAATGAACCCCAAAATATAAAATTTTTCACCAGGTCTGATGTTTGGGCAAAAATTTACAACTTTTCATGCATGTTCAGGGGGTGAAATTAAGGCTCAAAGTGCAGAATTCGACATCTCTCGAGCAAAAACAATATAGGTTTCAATGGCACGTGATACATAATTTTAAAGCGTTTGAGGATACGCACGCAACCGTCACATTTTGTGACGGGCGCTGACACGCACCACCACCATTTGCATTCACCATAGACCCATTCACAGCCTACGTCATCAAGAAGCTGTGTGCGCATTCGGGAAACAGAAGTACCGCGGCGGATCGTTTACCCGGTATTGTATACATCCCACTAGACTAGGAAACAGGAAAAGTTTAACGCTGAACAGTCGCGGTTAAAATGTCGGGTTCTTGTGTTTATGGTTGTTCAAACCGAAATACTCAACCGGGGCTAAAGCTCTACCGTATACCAAGGGGCTCTCGGCCGTTTCAGAGCAACCGAAGGCGGCTGTGGCTTCAGGCTATCAAGCGGGAGGATTGGACCGAGGACACCATCAAAAATGCACGCATCTGCGGTGCCCATTTCATATCAGGTACGTGTGGTTTTCATAAATAACAGTTTGAAAAGCGTGTACTCGCAATGTGATGCTGCCAAACGTGAATATACAGTATAGTGGCTAAAAACAAGGCAAGGCAAGTATATTTGTATAGCACAATTCATACACAAGGCAACTCAAAGTGCTGAACAGAACAAGAAAGCATTAAAATCAAAAATAATCACAGTACATTAAAAACATTTAAAAAAAATATAAAATCCCTCAGTTGTATGCACAGCTAAACTGTCTTTAACCTGGTTTTAAACATTGTCAGAGAGGAGGCCTGTCTCACATCTTCAGGAAGACTGTTCCAGATTTTAGCAGCATGAATCTGAAAAGCAGCCTCCCCATGTTTAGTTCTGACTCTGAAACAAAACGGGTGTGTGCAGGAGAAGTGTCGCTGGACTGGCAAAGTCCTGATTTCGTGCCTTCAGTCTTTGTGTACACCAAACAACGCCAGAGACCCGAGGCAAAGATGGAAAGGTATAACTAGGCTAATATATCTCAATGCCTTGGCCCCTCTTTATTTTTTTTACCTGTTATGCCATTCAATTGCCAAAATATCTAATATTCTCTGACGCTAGCTTTGAAATACTGACGTATAAAAGGCAGGTGCAGTGCAAATGTTTATCCACAAGGAGTCTCTACAATGTAAGTTATTGTTGTTGTAGATACCATCGGAAAAGGAGGAGAGATGACAGGACAAACAAGTCACCAGTTCAACCTGGTCCTGGTGACATTCCAGAAGAGCAAGGAGAATCCAGCATGGAACACTGCCATGGTAAAATATTTTTCTTATAACTGATTGTAAGAGATTCGATGGTTGTGAAATTCAAGGAAAAGTTAAGTAATTAAAAACAAAATTCCAGGTCTGAAAATTGTTTTGAATTAACATAATGTTTAGTTTAAGTTGCAGTCAGTCAGTGGGTTTTGTTTTTCAATGCTACAACTCTTGTCCAACTCCATCTCCTGCACAGTGGTCCAGGGTTCTATACGTTTTAGTAAGCAAGAAACATTATTAGTATACAGGTGCTCGCCATATAAGAGAATAGGCTTATGTGTAACAGCAGATACTCCACTTTATACTTACTGTATTTGTGGTGCATATGCTAACTGTTTGCTCTTTTTATATTTAAGCACAAGAAGATATCCCAGTCCCAAGGAGTGAATATGATCATCTCAGCCTGCGGCATCGTCAACTTCTGGATGAATATGTCAACCTGCAGCAGGAGTTTGATAAACTGCAGGCTGAGAATCAAATCTTAAAAGAAGAACTTGAGAAATCTAGGTTTTCCTATGCAACTATTAAGTCCAACACTGAAAAACTGATTTTTTTCACAGGACTTACATTTGTTTTGTTTCAGTGGCTGCTTACAAAGATATCGGGCAGGATAGAAAGAATTAGCCAAAAACTTAGTCTAGAGGACCACTTATTGGTTGTTCTTATGAAATTAAGGTTAGGCCTAAGTAACATTGACTTGGCATATAGATTCAATGTATCCAAAACCACCATATCAAATATTTGTCAGAACTGGATACCTGCCATGGCCATGATCCTCAAGCCGCTCATTAAGTGGCCAAGCAAGGGAGCTATACTTAAAAATATGCCCAAAATATTCAAGCGTAACATCAAAAAATGCCGATGCATCATAGATTGTACAGAAATGTTTATAGCCAGACCCAGTAATTTGACAGCTAGGGCCCAGACATGGTCAAATTATAAACACAATAACACAATCAAATATTTGATTGGCATTACTCCAGCAGGGGCTATTTCTTTTCTGTCTCCTGGTTGGGATGGAATTGTTAGATGATATTGTTGTTGTGTGTGGTGCCCTCAGATTCAGATTCAGTTTATTTGCCATTTGCAGTAAAAAAAACCACATTGGAATTAGCGAAAAGTCTCCAGTGTGCACAGACAAATACAGACATAAAACAACATTAAAAGACAAAAATAAAACAAATAAAACAGTAAACAAAAGTCACTGTGAAATCGATCGACTAAAACAGTTTCAAAACAAGTGCAAATCATTAAAGTGCTCTGTTCACACTGTTAACAGCTTATGGATAAAAATTGTTAGCGTAACGAGATGTCCTGCATCTCAGAGAGCGATATCTTCTGCCAGAGGGAAGAAGCTTGAACATGGCTTTCCCAGGGTGGCCAGAAGAGTCATTAACAATCCTAAGAGCTTTGTTTAAAAGTCTGGATTTATAAAGAAACTCCAGAACAGGAAGCTCACAGCCCACGGTCCTCTTTGCAGAGCGGAGCACCTTGTTTAAAGCTCTCTTTTCTTTATCTGTGATGTTTCCAAACCACACAGACACAGAACCAACAAGTAAACTCTCAATGGTGCAGCGATAAAAGTTAAGCAGAATCTTAGAGTTAGTGGTAAATTCTCTAAGTTTACGCAGAAAGTAGAGACGCTGACGAGCTTTCTTAACGACTCGGTCAGTGTTTTAAACCCATTTCAGGTCGTTAGACAGAGTTAGACCCAGAAACTTGCACTCCTCTACAATCTGCACCTGGGAGTTGTCGATTACGACAGGCAAATGAGAACTGACAAACTTGTGTAAAACTGTTGTTCCAAAATAAGTAACTACTGAAAAACTGTACAAAGAAAGGATTCTAGACAATTTTAGAACATTTAGTTTGCAGCTCTAAATTGTCATTGTACTGTATATATATATATTTTACCTTCACGTAAAATGTATTTACTTCTTGTGTGCTTATATTATAATCCTGTTTATTTCAAAATGATATGTACTATTTGTAATGTATTGATTTGCCAAAGTGCATTAATGATTAGACAGCAGTCAATAACAATAAATAACATCAAGTGTAATACTTATGAAATGATTTATTTTTAAACAAAGTTGAAATTTTTCCAGGTAAAGCCAGAACATAACTAATGGCAAGAGCTGGGTGATTTTTCCTTTTTTATCATCCACATAAAACAAAAATAACTACTGGCAGTACATGTATTTTACATGTATATATTCATTGTTTTCAGTTAAAGTGCATCAACAAACCCCAAAATTAGCAAAGGAAATCACTGTAAAAAGCAGTGTGCAATTTTTTACTAAGATTTTTAAACATCCAAATTATTAATTCCAATAAAATATATAACATATCTACAAAAAATGTGACTGTCTGAAAATATGAATCGATTTGACTTACTGATTTTTTTATTCAAATTGATTTTTTGGCCCAGCCCTACTAATGGAATTTGTCATTCAGGCCTCAACTCAAGCATTTCCCACAGGACCATGTAGCTGGCTTTCTTTTGATTTTAGCACAGCTGTAGTGGAAATAGTTTTTGCATCGGACACAGCTGATCATTTTGCCAAAATCTGGCCTTTCACACACCTTGCAGGCTATCCGAGAGTCCAAGGCAGGGTCATGTCTTGTCAGGAGTTCAGGCAACACTCTTGAGATGAAAAAGGCTTGTGCCTTCAGCAAGGTCTCTTGCAGAAACGCTTGGTTTTTGAGGATGCGTTGCACAATTAGTTCACCCTTTGACCACAACACAAAGTCACAATAGTCTACGTCGCACACAAACATATGGAGCTGGGTCTGGTAGATTGTTTTAAAGCATACGATTTGTCCAAACAAAACTGTCTGTCTTGTGTGCATTCATGAAAGTTGTGACAGTATTTGTATGGACACTTTATTTCGACTACACCTTTGCCGCAGCAGGTGCAGCTAGCTATGCCATCTGGTGATGAGCCAAGGTGTGGCTCAGAAGGAGGCACTACTAAGCCACAGGACCATACACTGAATTTTGCATGACTTTTAGCCATGAAAACAGTGTATGCTTGTCGTGCCGTTTCCTCCATGTTTTGTCCCCACACCACAGGTGGGACATTTAATGATTGTGTGCTGTAATGCATTATATCCATCAAATAAGTTTCGCTAATCTTGTCAGTTGTGGATGTGTGGGAAAGTGGACTTTTAAAAAGACTTTTTTTTAAGTGGACTTTTTAAGTGGACTTTTTAAGTGGACTTTTTAGTGGACTTTTTATTTTTGTGATGTGTTTTGTGTGTTTTTATGGTTTTAATGCATGCAGTGACCTTTGAGCCTGGAGGTTGTGAGTTTCGATTCCCACCATGGAACCTACTCCAACTGCTCCCACTGATGTCTACTGTCGTTGTATCCTTGGGCAAGACACTTAGCCCCACGTTGCCTGAAGCCCCCGCTGAAAGACCAAGGCTGTTTCACCACAGACCGAGCATCTTCCTGTGGACTCACCCCCTGCAGAAGATCAGCGAGGGACTGGTGCTATGAGCGTTGGGTGGCAGCTCTCATTGCCACCCCCCTGACCCAGAAATGGACAAAAAGGGCTTGAAAATGAAATGAAATGAAATGAAATGTATGCATTTTATCACTGTTCCCTGGACACTTCCCCTAACCCGCACCTGTTTTAATCAAGACCTTTTAATTGGGGGCGGGCACTGCAGCAGAAAAGAGGCGAGACAGAGAGCACACGGAGGACCAGAGGAGGAGGACGCGGGACCGGGCCAAGGACGAGAACGAGCACCGCCAGCCAGAGACCACGGGGGACTGAGGCCAGCGGGGGGAGCGGCACCGGTGAGGGGGCGCGCATTGACAGCGCATGAAGGCGCGTGCGCGCCCGGGCTAGGCCCACCGGCGACCGGGATATGCCGGCTCTCCCCCGCGGGTGCCCGGTGCCGACCCGTGGTCGGCTAGTGGCTGGCGGAACTGCGGCCCGGTCCCGGGGGAGAACAGCGGAGGCCAGTGGGGACGGACTCTGGGCTTTTATCATCTTTTTAATGGACCTTTTTGTAAACATTTTATTAAATTTTATCCCCTTCTGCTTTTTATTAATCACACCCCCTCAACAGACACTTTTAAAAATCTGTGACATTTTATGGCGTTGCTGGAAGGATCCGGTACCACTGTTTTTAAGTTGCGATTAGAAGCTATAGGGCTCCGTGGAGGAAGGATGGGTGTGCTGTCGCTGAGGCCGTCAAGGGATCCGAGCTGAACTGCGCGCTGGCAGCCGGGTGGGCCACCCCAGATCCAGCACACAGAGGAGCACCACATCCGCGACCTGGAGAGAGAGCACCACGACGCATGATACAAGCAGGGGCAGACATGGAGGTCTGCCTGGCCTGTAAGTATGGGCATGTGGTGTAGTGGTGCTCGTGGAAGGCCTACGGCCCTAGGGTCGCGGATGCGTGGGTTTGGGCTGGCCTCTGGTGTGTTTGGTGCAGGTGGCCCGGCAGCAGCGGCAGTGGCGGCAGGAGTCTGAGGTAGAGCCCTGCACGGGCCTATTATCTGGGCCCGAGCCCGGCCCTGGCCCGAGGGGGTGGCGCCCCAGCCCGGCCCGGCCCGATATGGTTTCTGAATTTTCAGGCCCGAAACCCGCATCAAGCCCGCCTTTTTTTTTTTTTTTGTAACCTCCCATAACAATGTTTTAGCGTAGTATATAGTGCCGCGCACTGATATGAACGCAGACTTAGCTAGAGGGCGGAGTTATACATGGTAGTGATGTGTTGCAATGAGTTCTGTGTGTGCGGAGGGGTGCAGAGTGAACGGCCGTATCTGTATGATGCCCCCGATGCTGCAACACATCTGCACATTACATAAGTAATGCTATGTGCCGTCAATGACAACACTACACAGAACAACAAACACTACAGCGTGATAAAACGCTATATTCAGTGGGTGCGTTCGTAAATGTATTCTGCCGCTCTGAAAATGAAGAGCCCGAGCCCGGCCCGTGTCCGAGGTCATTATGCGGTCATCGGCCCGAAGCCCGGCCCTCGGGCTGTCGGGCCGTCGGGGCCCTCGGGCCAAGGGCTCAAGTGCAGGGCTCTAGTCTGAGGCCCTGGGAGAGACGCGACGGAGGCCCCGGGAGACTCGCGGTGGAGGCGAACCCCTCCCCAGAGATTGAAAGGCGCAGGTGTTCTGTTAGCAGGGACTGCTAAGATTAAAGCAGGGGGGAGTGTCAGGGGGTGCAAAATGGGTGGTGGGTTTTAATATGGTTTTATTCATATTTTATGCATGTTGTGTTTGTGTGTTTTTAATATTGATTTTAACTGGCACCACCTGAAGCACCCCGGCTCCCCACGTGAGCAATCAAGACACCTGCGCCTTGAGAATAAAAGACTGAGATGGGGAGGCGGACACAGAATGAGACAGAGAGAGCCAGACACGGGAGCCAAGCGCGGCGGGTGAGAGCCCCGTGTTCTGGATGGCCGTGGGGACGCATTTTAGCCTGTTTTAGTCTCTGTTTTAGCTTTTTATCCCTTTTTTTAGCGTAGGTTTTTATAGCTTTTATTTACTTGTTTTTAAGGTATTTTATAATAAATTGCTTTTAATTCGCTTTTAATCCAGTGGTCTTTTCTAAATCCGGGTCCGAAGAACCTGTTTTTACACATGTGACAGATGCATGATGAAATTTGGTGCTTGTGATCCGACCAGCTCTATGGATGTGCAACTCCCTTGACTTTGATTGTTGCCGGGTAACAGATTCCAGTCTTTCCCACAGATGAGGCTGTAGTTTAGTTTTTAGTCTGTTAAATCTCCTAAGTCTCCTTGCTTTTATCCTGTAATTCCTGAGGTGATAGGTCCTTGTTTGATGCATTAAATAAAGCAGTCAAGGGCTAAGGTAAGCCTGGATGCTCCTCTTCATCATTGTCAGATGATGCAGTATCTGTGTCGCTGTTCTAAGTAAGTAAGTAAGTAAGTAAGTAATCTTTATTTATATACCGCCTTTCAGAGACCAGAGTCACAAAGCGGTTTACAATTGTTATTATTTTTGGGCATTGGTCCACTCACTCCACACAGAGATGGGAGCGGGGTCGCCAGTACAGGAGGCGCATGCCAGACCTATACATAGTTCCTACATGACGTCACTACATACGGGGATTTGCAGACCCGGCGCCATTTGTGTTGGCATTCTGTGGGCAAAACAATAGAAAAAGAAGCTGAAACGTGTTAATGTCGTGATAAAGTTGAAAATGGTCATCTCCTGCTGGGTCAATGGATGTTCAAATCGTGCCGGAGGTTCTGTTAAACTTGGATTTTACAGTATACCCATCATTAGACTTCATGAATGTGAGAAGACTAAGCTTTTGTCAGAACAACCACGGAGATTATGGCTTGCGAAGATAAACAGGCAAGAAACTCCCTCAAAACACGCAAGAATATGCTCGGAGCACTTTGTGTCAGGTGCGTATCGTATCTTATAATGTGTTGACAGACGTAATTTACTCAGTACTAACTTGTGTATGCTGATATCTGGTAACTTGAGAGTTTCATTATTTAGCGTTAGATTACTTTATTATGAGGAGGATCGGTGTCGCGTCCGAGGCTCTCGAGGGCAACGTAAATGTATTAAATAGATAATAATAGTTCTATGGTGGGCTAAAACAATGTTCACAAACAGCATTGCTTCTGTAAAAAGATCTGTGTCATAAAATAAACTGCTCTTTACGCCTGGAAAAATCAGTTGCCCACCATTCACCAAAACATACGGTCAAAAACGCGGAAATAAACAATAACAGCAATCCAGAGTGTCCGTGTGGCATTAGCATTAATTAAATTGTTAATATAATTAAAATAATTAAATGGAGCTCCAACTGGTATTAAATCTAAAGTTTTTGAGAAATGTTTGCATTGCTTGTTAATTTTTGCTGCATAATTTGATCAAATATGTAAAACATGTCCGTAGCACGTTAAACTGTGGTGCCATTGTATTAATATACAATTATTTGCTCAAAAGTTGCCCTTTTTTTCCAATTTGCGTTTGAATATGTACATTTATTCTCATTCTTCTGTTTAATGGAATGCACAAACACAGCAGCGTGCCATCAAAGATGGCGTCTCCGAGGAGGTCATGTGACATTCATTGGTCTGTGGGAACTATGTATTGTTTTGTAAATGTAATGTTTTTAGTGGTAGGGGAAACCAGAGTACCCGGAGGAAACCTACGCAGACACGGGGAGAACATGCAAACTCACTCAGAAAGGCCCTGGTCCGGCTGGGATTCGAACCCAGGACCTTCTTGCTGAGGTTCTGAAGTCTGTCTCCAGACTTGTCACCACAGCAGCATCTGGTGCCACAGTCCGCAGCTCCTGTATGTCCTCATCTGTCAGCACTGATAGTGACAAAAAGCAACAAAAAGACAATTATTATGTTGAATAATATCCACATTTTAAAGAGTGAGGAGAGCATTTAAAAGGTAGGGTTCCAGGCTGCCCAATGGGATGTACTGTATTTTGCACCTACATTTTGAAATTGTGCAAGAAAACGGATAAAACATGGAAGGGGAGACTCAAATAATCTGTAATTTGCCATTAGAGGTGGTAGACCAATGTATATGGAGAAATAAATGTTAAATGTGTGTGTGAACTGTGCTCCTAGTAAAAGCTAGTCTGGAGCCCCAGAAACATACATAAAATGTGAAACTTATCTAGCCTTTATGAACTAATACATGCCTCTGGGTGTGATGATGTTCTTCTGAGCGATTTTTGAAGCTGCTGGAAACTTTCTGGCTAGCGTCTTTGGTTTGTGGAAGCTTATTTCACTCAGTGGAGCTGGCTTGACTTCTTTCCTACTCTGTTTCCACATGCACAGACCAGAAGTAACGGCTGCTTTCTCCGTCCTTCCCATTCGAACACAGAGCTCTATTTTGAATAGAATCGCAGCTGCATGGCTGCAGCATGATGCAAGACCGTAATGTAAACAGACATAAAATGTATATAGCCTTTTCCAATACATATTGTAAGTTACCATTACAAACAGGGCTCGAAAAAAATAAATAAAAATATTACCAAGATGTTTATAGTTTCTAAATGAATAAACATTCTTGAATGTATCCTGACCAAGTTCTATCAGTTTCTGAAAATTTAAACCACTTCTGGTTTTGTTCTGAAAAAACAACTGACAGCTTACTTACCCTGTCATACAGGTGCAGTTTGCTGTGAGTATGTAGTTCTCGACTTTGTTGATAATCACCCAAGCCTCATACATTATAGTCTTGTGCCCTTGCCTTAGGCTGGGTAGTATTTCAGACTTTAGGACACAAAAATCTTCATCGACGTCGCGATATCTCACCTCCTGTACATGTCCGCAAATTACGTAGTCATACGCATCAAGAGATTTGTTTGCTCGCAGCTTATAGTGCTAGGTTTTTCAACCAAATACAGGTAAATATCGGGCCACTGAATATCGGGCCACTTACTAACGTCATGTTCCCCTTCAGTCACAGTACAAGGATCTGGGAGCCGCTTGCCATTTGTTAAAGTGAGCTTTTTAAAGTACGCTTCGCGATCTTTCATTGATAACGCACCGGCGTAGTTTGACAAGCCGCCGCTAGCCTCCATACTCGTTGCCAGGATGCGCGCGCAGCCGTCTTTGTTTATCAACAGTTAATTGGTCTATTGTGAAAGCAATAGGCCCTTACCCCGTTCGGGGCTCAGGCCTAATAAATGTAAAATTACAACAAAAGTGATTACCAGGAGGTAATTCTATTTGCCTTTTATTACTATGTAATGATGACTCTACATTGTGACAATGTCCTGGTGGTGTGGCAACACTCCCGTCTTGTGCTGAGGGATGGGAGCCTACGCACCTGAGCAGAGACAGTGGAATCCAAGGGGAATACGAAATGATTCAGCAGAAACCGTGCTACAGAGCAGAGGTCGGGAACCTTTCAGCCGAGAGAACCAAAACACTCTTGTTCTAAATACTAAAATGTATTTCAGTGGGAGCCATACACGTTTTTTACTGTGTGTGATTTTTTTTTGTTTTTATTTGTTTATAAAAGACACATATAGTCTCAGAATGTTTTTTGTTTATTGATATTTTTATACTGAAGAAATCAATACATAAAACATTCTTACTATTATGTTTATTCAGGTACACTTTGTACCTGAGAACCAGATACGATCATCAAAAGAGCCACACCTGGCTCCTGAGCCCGGCTGCAGAGGGACGAGCTGATGTTTAGTGAAGGTGTGGTTGCAACACGACACTCATTTTGCTGAGTTTCTTTGTTTGGAACTTGGAGTTGGTCCCTCGGCTACATCTACAAATAAAAGGTAAGATATGACACAATATTTATAATACATTGTCTAATGTGTAATACAAAGTCATTATATTCTGAAACTATTTTGGCAATAAAAATCTGAAATTAAAAGTAAAGTTTTACTACAACAAAACTGACATAACTGGTTTTAATCTTGAATTTACTTCATTTTAACAAATGTGATATGAACAGTTTGGCATAATGCACATCAAGTCTCTTTAGCTCATTTTATGTCCACGATGATCAAAAACCGGTTTTATTTCTCTCGACCCTGAGGAATTATTTACATAAAGACTATACCACTTCCACCAGTAGTTTAGACTTTCAGATTTTATTGCACATAACTATACACAACAAATTACAATTACTTTTTTACAGATGAGGAAGGTCCATCTTGTCTTTTGAGTATGTTATTTGGTTCCTCTTTATCAGACACTAGACAGGTGACAATGTTCAGGGATACGGAAGTTACCGTCGAACCATGTCAAGGCATCGCTATCTTACCATTGTCTGTTATAGAAGAACCAAATAACTATGTCCCCTTTCTTAATCCAGTACAACACAAAAAATGTTAAATATGGACTGCAGCAGCCCTCCTTAAAACTGGTTTGATTTTTGTTTTATTTCCCCCATAATTGTAATTACTAATTATGTTTTTTTTTTTTTACATTTTGATGATTCTTGAGCTTTGTTTTTCATATTTGAGTGGATTTTCTGATATTCCCATGTGTTTCTGGGTGGTTCTGGCAAAGGCAAAAGAGAAGCTTCCTTTCCGGGTTGGATTTGAGAGAGAAAAGCGTTTGTGCAGCTGCTTGCAACAGTCTTTGGCTTTTACATCACAATGAGTATGTTTTGTCTTACACACTGCGTATAATGAAAGAAAATATGGTATATGAGATCCTGTAATTTTAACAGTTTTGCTTGGATGGAGAACCGATTAGAGTCGACTCAATAATTAAGTGTAAGAAAATCTATAAGGATATGGTGTTTTAGTGTGTTTTTATTTCCTCAAACTTACAAACAGTACAGTAGGTGATAGATCAGGGTACTGTACAGCAGCCTTAGGGCATTATGAGTGAGTTTTTAAAATTAAGCACTGAAATATTTTTGGATATGTTTCTTTTCACATTATTTATATGTGATTTCCAAATGTATTTCTCATTCATTTTCACCCCCAAATTATGTATTTCTTGCACTCTTTCAATTGCTGTAACGACACCTGGACATCTGCGTTAACTTGTTTTCAACCATATTTTAATGTTTCCCATTTCCTTTTCCATTGTTATGGGGTAAGGTTACTGTCAATAAAGACGTGCATGTTTATTGGTATTTGTGCATAAAAATATTGTAATAATTCATGATTAAGATAATACAAACTAAAAAGACATGGAATTTCGTAATTAAGAATAAAAAAATATAAAACTGTATGTGTGATTTTGTTTTTGTGAATGCAATTTTATTTTTGTGCTTGCATTTTCTTTTTGAGAATAGGAATTTCAGCAGTGAGCAAACTGTCAATATTACTGTGTCAAGAATGAAGCAGACAGAGACAGATCGTGGTACGCCAAACTCTGGAAGTTTATTTAAGTTTCTCTCAAGTTCCAGTGGTTTCATTTGTTTCTTTCTCCCAGACAGAATGGAGTCAGTACACAGTTTATATAGTCATTGTCACGTCACACATGGAAAGACGTGTCACAAAGAGACAGTCACATCATAGTCAAAATAATCAGAGTCCTTGTAGAGTCCTTGTACAGTCCTGCACGTAGGCCATATTGCTATCTAATACTAACACTCACCCCTTTGATCACATAATCACATGTGATCACTCAATTTGATCAATGAATAAAGTGAAAAATAAATAAAAAATCTAAAAAAAACGTTAACAAAATATTAAAAAACAAAGAAAATGTATGCATTACTCATAATCATCAAATCAATATCAGTGGATTTTATCCTCTATCCTGGGGGAAAAAATAAAAAACAAAAAATAAAACACACTATTGGACACACAAGAACTCAGCAGATTCAGTCAAAACACAGACAAAAACGAGTTGAGTCTCAATTTAGAAGCTAATTTCACTTTTCTCACTCTATACTTTTATTCTAATGCTGATTGTTTACACTTCACTTATTTCACTGTATTGTTTTCACTTTTCAATCTTAGACTGTGTACTTTACTTTCATGATTCACTATAGTTTAAAAACTATTCTAATCTATTTACAAATATGTTTGCATATTTGCTTTTATTGAGCCATATTCTTAAACACACATTTTAATCTAATTAATCTCTCTGTGGTTTACTCTCATTATCAGTGGCATATTGTTAGTGGGATTTTGCTCTATGTCTGTTCTACATTCCCAGGAATAAAACTGTGAACACAGAAAGACAAATGGTTAATATGAACATTATTATGGCGGTCAGTTTTCCAAATACATTTGTTTAACCAGGAAGTGCTGTCACTTCCTCCTCTCAGGCAGTTTGGGATGAATGTACATCATTAATCAAATTAGTATTATCCTTACAAGAGCTAATCTGTTTTAGCAGGTTTGGGCTTGGGGTCAGTTATTATTATTCTACAATGGTGTTTGATTCTCTAATCTGTGCTGACAAATCGACAACTTTTTAAACTTCTCAATATCTAAATATCTACTATTTTGTTTTTGGGCTATACACAAATACATCAAAATGCTTTTAAATGCTTTTGAATCTCTGTTGGTTTTCTAATCTACATTAGTCTAGGCTACACTCATGAACTTTTGTATTGTCAACATTCACCGATGTTTGAACACAAGTGAATGTGACAAGTATCTAATAAAACTGTACATAAACTGTAAGTAACTTTATTTACTTTTAAGTAAATGTTTGTGAACCTATGTTGAAGGAAATGGTCCTTTTACAATTCAAATATTTGCACTGGCTAGAAATAATCTCTATTTTATGGTTGATGCTTTTATCTATTTCTATTTCTCTATTGTGACTCTAAAGCTCGGTTGCAGCTTGAGCCAAGGCATATTTCTAGTTTGTGACTTCTGTCACTTTTAATGGCTGTAACATTATTCTGATTCTAATATTTTAGCTGCTCTATCAGAAGGATAACATTGTATAGTTATGATTTTAACTCTTATGTGGAAATGTGTTTATGAACAACAAAGGAAGTCAAATTCTACTTTTTTACTACTATTTAACATCTACTAAAACGCTACAATACTCATACTTTATCATTTTAAAACATTTTAACAGTTGCTCAGTCTCCCAGACTAAAAAGTCAAAGTTTTTGTCTGTCAGATGTCTGAATACTTTACATGTGTTGCATTTGGTCACAGTTGTGGTTCTGGTTGTAGCAATAGCATCGGCAATAGATGATTTTTCATTGGCTGGTTCTTGTTCTGCAAATGTCTGTGTCCAATAGATCATCAGATGTCCAGAAGCTAGGGACAAACAAAAACAAAAGAAAGAATCATGAGTATCTGTCTCATTTAGCACTCATCTATGTATGATTTTAAAACTATAAACATCACTCCCCAGTTTTTTCTCTCAGTTCCTCAGGTCCTCAGGGTCCCCTGAGGGTGAGTCTCAGTCGTCATCAGGTCAGGTCATATTTCAGAAGATGTCATCTTGGACATCAGTAGGGTCCAAGCCATGGTTTTGGTTACTCCAGATGCACATTGGTCACTTGGGTTGCTCTTTGCGATGCACTTCTGGTCAATGGTGCAGTGTCACAGTTCCTGTACACAGCTTGTTATGCAGTAGTTACTTTCTATGGTTAAGTCACTTTGAGTCTACTTTAAAGACAATTTCTATTAATGCTGTTGCTAATGTCAATCAGACAAAAGCAAACACAATGATTCAGTTTACTTCTCTAATTTGTGTTTTAATCAGATGTAATCCTAATCAATGTAATTACTTCACACAGTACAAAATCAACAAATCAAAACAAAAAATGTCAAGACAGGCCAATTAAGTCCATGACAATATAGAATTCAAATGAACATTTCTGGTCTCAAAGAATACTGATTCAAATAAAGATTCAAGTGATAGACAATTAAAAATATGTGTTTACATTGGAGTAAACTTTAAATGCTTTTTTCTCATGTTCTGCTTTTTCATGTATCTATATGTAAATGTGAATGTGTGAGTGTATGAATGTTTGTGTTATAAATAAAGACACAACAAATGACTGGCATTCTAGCTTCTTTTAGTAGCGTGCCATAAGCATGTAGTTACAAACAGCAGTCCGTAGTACACTCTGGTACGCTATAATATCTGGACTGTACCATTCTAAGAACTCTAACGGGGGAGCCCGTAACATCTCCCCTTTTATACTTGTTATAGAACAACAAACAAACAAGGGCATTTCTGCGCTTTGATTTTAACTTATTATTCTTACATAACATCTCTTTTCTTATTTCCTTATAGATTAAGTCTTTCTGGTGGCTTTACCAGCCTGCCCCTGCTGGTCCTGTATTCCCTTGTCTCTGGTGAATGGGCTGCAGACTGTTCAGCTTGCTTCTGATCGTTTGTGTTCTGTCGCGTGTCTTTTTCTGCTCTTGCACTGTCCGCATCCGGTACCTGTCCTTCCTGTGGTCTATCTGATGTGTCCTTTTCGGCTGGTCTTAGGGCCACTCTGTTACGCCTGTACAAAGTTCCTTCAACATCCACCAGGTACGACCGAGGGCCCACCTGTTGGAGGCAGACACCTCTCCTCCATCTTCCCGGCCGGTCTCCTGGCAGCGGCTGCATCCTGATCTGTTGACCCGTGTTTAGTTCAGGTAGGTCCCTGGCTGATCTATCATACCAAAGCTTGGCCTTTTGGTGCTTGGCCCTGAGCTTCTCTGACACGTCCGCAACCACGCGTGGCTCCAAAAGACTGTCCGAGACGGGGAGCGGACTTTTCAGCCTACGGGCCATCAGTCTCTGCGCTGGACTGCAGTCCATGTCGTCTGTAGGTGTATTTCTCCACTGCAATATAGACAACCAGGGATCAGAACCTGCACTCACTGCACGTTTGCATAAGTTCTTAACAATCTTCACAGCTGACTCTGCTTTACCATTGGACTTGGGGTGTCTAGGTGAGGACATAACATGTTCGAAACCCCATTCTTTTGCAAATCTCCGGAATAACTCATTGTCAAACTGGGACCCACAGTCTGTGATTACACGATCAGGTTGGCCGTATCTGGCAAACTGAGATTTGCATTTGAGGACTGTTGTTTCTGCAGAGAGGTCGGAGAGCTGCTCAGATTCCCAAAAGTCTGAGTAATGGTCCACCATTATCAAAAAGTCTTTGCCCGCTTGCCTATACAAATCCATGCTAAGGATTTGCCATGGCCGTGTAGGAAGTGCGTGTGACATCATCGTTTCCTGCTGCTGTCTGTGAGAGTATTCATTGCATGCTGAGCACTGGCTAACAAAATCCTTTATTTCACCCTGCATATTGGGCCAGTACAGGGTGTCTCTTGCTTGTCTGTAGCATGCGTCGCCCCCTATGTGACTGACATGAATCCGTTTCAACATGTCTGGACGCAGTGACCTTGGGATGATTATTCTCTGACCTTTGAAAAGCACACCATCCTGAGCACTGATCTCATCCCTGACAGTCCAATACTCTCTAATGGCTGTGGGTGTCTCTTCTTTGCATTCTGGCCACCCTTTCAGAACTACAGATTTCAACATTTGGAGACATGTGTCCTCATCTGTGTGCCCTCTGATCTGTGTTAGGCGCTGGCTAGTGACATTCAAGTAGTCAGCTTGGTTTATGTGTTCAGCGGTCTCTTGCGCCCTCTGGAGGCAGCATACAGAGTGGCGGCTGTATGCCTCATTGGGTACTTTTGCAGGAACTGTGGCTCTGCTTAGTGTGTCACTAATGTGCATGTCTGGGCCTGGTTTGTACATTACCTTGAGGTTGTAGTTCTGCAGTGTGAGGAGCATGCTCTGCAACCGTTTGGGTGCACTCAAAAGCGGCTTGTTGAAAATTGAGATGAGCGGCTTGTGATCCGTTTCCGCCATAATCTCTTCCCTGCCATAGAGATAATGATGAAACCGTTGACACGCAAACACAATGCTCAAGCACTCCTTTTCAATTTGTGCATAATTTTGTTCAGTTTGCGTTAGTGCTCGAGATGCAAATCCAACCGGCTGGCCATCCTGTAGGAGGCAGCAGCCGAGTCCCTTCTGGCTAGCGTCACTTTGAACAGTGACCGGCTTAGTTACATCGTAGTATTTCAGGACTGGCGCTGCGGTGACTAGTCTTTTGATTTCCTGCACCGCTGCATCGTGTTTTGGCAGCCAGTGAAACATCACATCCTTGTCAAGTAGCCTCCGCAGTGGCTCACACACTTCTGATAGACGTGGCAGAAACTTTGCAAGGTAAGTCACAAATCCAATAAATCTCTGAACTGCTTTGGCATCCGTGGGGTGAGGCATCTCTCGAACTGCCCTGATTTTCTCTGGGTCTGGCCGTAGACCCTCTGCCGACAGAATATGTCCATGAAACTTAACCTCCTTGACTTTGAACTGCAGCTTCTTAAGACCTAGCCTCAGTTTGATCTCGCTACATCTGTCCATCAAGGCAAGCAGCTTTTTGTCGTGGTCTGTCACTGCCTCCGCATCAGAGTCCCCACAACCGACAATCAGTATGTCGTCTGCTATTGGTTCGACGCCACTGAGCCCTGACAAAAGTTCATGCTGCTTTCTTTGGTAGACCTCTGGTGCAACAGATACTCCGAATGGCAGCTTTAACCAACGGTATCTGCCCCACGGCGTCCAGAACGTCGTCATGTAGCTGCTGTCTCTGTCCAATTTGCACTGTAAGAAAGCATCACGTGCATCCACAAGTGTGAATAATCGAGCTTTTGGGAGCTTGTACAACACGTCGTCCAGAGTGGGCATGTGGTAGTGGGAGCGCTTCAAAGCCGTATTGAGAGACTTGGGGTCAATGCAAATCCTCAATTTCTCTGGCTGCCTAACAATCACCATGTTGCTAATCCACTCAGTTGGTTCAGACACTGGGGTTATGTGTCCGTCTCGCTCGTGTTTGTCTAACTGGGCCTTGACAGCGTTTCTAAGGGCCACTGGGACATTTCTTGGTGCAGCTTGTGTGGGGGCTATTGATCTGTCCAGCTCAAAGTGGACTTCCCCTGGAAGCGACTGGACAGGATCCGTGAAAACATCTGCATACAAGTCAATAAGTTGCTGCTTGGTTAGAGGTGTTGCGCTTCTTTGGTCTATTTTGTGCAGTTCATCTGGGATGGTGAAATGCAGCAAACCTAGCGCCACACTTGTTGAGCCTGACAGGAGTGGCCTTTGGTTACCTCTGACTATCTCAAAGTCCAGCATATGCCTCCTACCTCGTACCACACATTCAGTTCTGAAGATGCCAACAGAGTTCAGCGTTTCCCCCGAGTATAGTACCAACCTGGCCTTACTAGGAAGCAGTGGTTTATTGGGTGCTAGTTTTCTCTTATCTTTAATGCTCATCACGTTGCATGTAGCCCCAGAATCCAGCTGGCACCTTTGTAATCCACCGTTTAGTTTTAGTGTCGCAAACCACTTTTTTCCTCGTCCATGCAGTGCACCGATGCTCTCAGCTGTGTAGATCTGGTCAGTATCGTCGTCGTCACTGTTTATATTCTCAGCAGCATTCACTCTCTGATCAGGCCGCGACTTTTTCATGCACACCTTCGCAAAATGGTTTTGTGTCCCACACCGGCGGCACGCTTTCCCAAATGCAGGGCATGCATCACGTCCCCGCTTATGTGAGCCACCACAATATTTGCAAGTGATGTCGTTGCCCGTTCCCTGCATGCTGTACTGGGGCCTGTCCGAGCGCTGCGTTGGCCGCTGCTGCCGCTGCTGCCGCTTGTAAGTTATGTTTACGCTCTCCACGAGCCTATCCGGTGTCATCATTTTTAACTTTATGTCCGTCATTTCAGCACCTCTGCACATGTCTATTGCCGAACTCAGGGTTAGATCTTTCTCTCTAAGAAGACGCCGTCGCACCCCTTCATCGCTAATGCCGAGGACCAGCCGGTCCCTTATTAGCTCCTCTCTCAGTTCTCCATAATCACACGAAGCAGCCTTCTCCCTCAACCTTGTAACAAATGAATCAATAGGCTCACTGTCATCCTGCCTGCAATTTCCAAACACGTATCTTTCAAAAATCACGTTCCTTTTTGGCTTGAAATAGTTCTCTAATGCATCCAGAATAGCTTTCACGTCTTCCTGTTGCTCTGCGGTTAGGGTCAAGTTGTGCTTATAAACGTGGCGGCATTCACTGCCCATCACTCGTCTTAGTGTAGCAGCCTGCACTTTCTCATCTTTGTCAGCTAACTCTGACGCCAAAGAATAGTCCTCAAATTCAGTTCGAAAATTGTCCCAGTTACTTGCGATGTCGCCGGTTAGCTTCATCTCCTCCGGAGGTGGAATGCTTGATGCCATGCTGTCTGTTAGCCCTGCAATGCTAGCTTCGGAAAATTCACCGAGTCCACGCCGCTGCTTAACTCTGTTCACTGCCGCACAGATAGTCCTCCAGGCTATGGGTGTATTTGCACTTCTGACACCATGTTTGTGTTATAAATAAAGACACAACAAATGACTGGCATTCTAGCTTCTTTTAGTAGCGTGCCATAAGCATGTAGTTACAAACAGCAGTCCGTAGTACACTCTGGTACGCTATAATATCTGGACTGTACCATTCTAAGAACTCTAACGGGGGAGCCCGTAACAATGAATGCATGTGTGTGTGTGTGTGTGTGTGTGTGTGTGTGTGTGTGTGACTGTCATGAAATCACGGACTCATGGTAGTTGCTTTGAGTCTCTTTTAATAACAGAGATGCTCCAACAAAATAACAGCCTGCACCATCCTTCTATATGACAAAACTCAACACGTGCCAACTCCCCCCCAGGCTTGTCAAAGGCACTACAACATTGCCTACTAGTGGAGCATAAAGTGGATCACATTTACATAACATCACATCTCCCCTCTTTAGCAGTTTTCTCCTCAAACAACAATACTTTTTTTTTCATTTATATAACAAAAATAATTAACATTTGCTATCGTTTAGCTGTGTATATTAAGTAGTTCCACAGTTACAAAACAATAAAACTGCTGTAAAAATGTATTTCAAAAATGAATAACCAAACAACCATCTGTACTGTTATAGAACCCAAAAACCCGATTTTTCAAATCTCACACATAGTCTTTGAACCTCACCAGCGGCCTAACAACTCGACCAGCAGAGGTCCTCTTTGGGGATGCCCCTAAATTAGTGGGAACACAGGGCACCGATGCGCTGGTGGCAGCAGGCAGCACACCTGTATCCTCTGGAATAGTCATTTCACAGTAACTAGTCTCTGTTGCAGTCAGCTCAGCTGCTGGCTCAGGCACTTCTTGTAAATGCCTCCTGTTTCTGCGAGCTACAGTCCCATGTTCAGTTCTGACAATGTAGGATCTGGGCTCTGGCGCTTTTGCAATGACTTTTGCCGATGTTTTCCAGCCCGTCTCCCTATCCAGTTTAACAGCAACACTTTGACCAGCTTGCAGGGTTTTCAAAGCCTTGGCTGAATTCGTCGGTTGTAGAAGAATCGGTAAGAAGACTTGGCCTGTTGATCATTTAGTCTAACCATTCGTTTATCAACAGCAGTAGGGCACAGCTTTTGTGGTACCACTGGCACTGTGGTCCTGATCTCTCGTCCAAGCATTAATTGAGCTGGACTGTGACCTGTTGCAGTGATAGGCGTCG